GCCCGGTTGGAAATTCCCCCCGACGCTCCAGAAAGGTGACACAGTTGGGCGCTGATTTATGAGCCATATATATCTGCAATGTATACGGAACACACAACTATATAGGTAGGTGTCTATCTATGCTGAGATACAGAGAAAATAGTTTTACTTGAAAAATTCCAAAGACATAATATCAATTACCAAAAGATTTAATAAACAATTATTGAAAAAAAGTTTAATTTTTAAATTAATCTAATATATTCTTTAACTAAATCCCAAAAATAAAACATATTTTTTTATTAAAGTGAGTGTTTTTTTAATGGTCTTAGATCGACTTAGAAAAAAAAAAAAAAGGTTCTTTATAGTAGACTAATTTTAATAGACTACACAAATTTGTTTGAATAATAAATAGTATTTTGAACCTTAGCCTTAAATTTGGGTTTGAAGATCAGGGGTTCCTTTAAGAAAAGTTTCAAAAATATACTTTTCTTAATAACAAACATTTTTAATACATTATTTAAATCTTTTGATTTTTTTAATTAATACTCTCAGTTTTGTTAAAATACGTTTGTCTTAAACAAAATTTGTTCAGTGTGCTTATGCTGCGTGTGTTTTTCGCTTTTGGTGACTTTGCATATTCCACTTGGGCGGAAATTTATTAGAAGAGGTCGAAAAACTGTAAAGTCATGTGCCGAAGGACGTGCAGGACACACTTGCACACCTCCAGTCGGCAACCTGTCCCCCAGCTCCTCCTCCCCCTTCCCCTACCTATTTCCGTTTCCCGATCCCGATCCTGGCCGCACCGCATATATCTCAACGCTCTTTGTATCTTCCTGCCACTCATGCATATGCAAATTGCACTGGCTGGCCATGTGACCCAGTTTGATTGTGGGCGTGTGGCCTCCGCCCAAGCAGCCGCCCAGTCCACCACAACCCATCACCACCCCCTCGTCCTTGCCAGCACCCACAATTCGTGCCTCGTTTTGTTTGCGTATTTTTCCCCATTTTGTCGCTGGAGCCTGCCGTTTCCCATTGTCAATTGTTTTTGCCTGTTGATGTTTTTGCATGACAAACAAAAATTATAATTGCACTTGAAATTGGCACATTGGGTTTGTGCAGGGAGAGGGTGTGTTTATGTTATCTCACACGGGAATTGTGCGAAATCATTGTAGATATAATTCAGAATTTCATTTCATTTCAACAGAATATGTAGAACCTTGAACTACATAGATTTGGAAATCTCTTTACAAAGGTCAGAAAGTTATTAAGTGAAAACGATAAGATAAAGATATTTCATTCTCTTTAGTTTAACATATGCATTTGCTTGGAATTTATCTTAAGGTTACATTTTTGATGACGATATTTTTTTCGTTTTTATTGTGCCTGCTTTTGTTGGTAACAAAACTTGCATTCCTTAAAATTGATTATAATAATATGCATAAATGGGAATTCTCTTTTATTTATAATCTAATAATAAATAAAGATAACGCATTTCAGAATATTTATTTTCAGATGTTCCAATGAGTTTTTTCTGCAAAAGTTGTAACGTTTAATTTATAATAATCAGTTGTCAAAGGTATTTTCCTTTAAAGTTTTGTTCTATATACAAATATTTTTCAAAAGTTAAAGACCCTTTAAAATATGTATTTATATTCCCAGGATTTTTTAGAAAAAAATATTTTCTTTAGACCTAATGAAATTGCAATAAATGTCAAATAAATGTTTACCCTCAATGAACAGCTGGAAAATATGTCAGATTTCAATTTTCGAGGGAAAGGGGATGGGAGGCAGGAGCAGCGTACCAGGTCAAATAATGTCCAGTACAATCGTATGGAATTATTAACAGGACCTCTGTTCTATGCCAGGGAATTGGTCTCAAACCAAATCTATAAGTATTTATGCAGATGCTTTTGGTAGCCATGAAATGTTGGCTTGCTTACTTTTTCCACACACAAATTTCAATATTCACGTGCGAGTGTAGGTGTTTTTGTGTTGGGTTTTTGTCGAACAGATTTTTCCTTTTCCCGTTTTTGGTCCGTATCACTTTGACAAACATGCAGATTATCCTGGAATTATTAATTATTGTATCTGCAAACACGAGCCCCGCCGTCAGCTGTCCTGTCGTGTGTATCTGTGCGAGGGAGCTGCCATAAAAGAGCATTTTGGATTATGAGTTTTTGGCAACGGGGAAACGGGATGACTAATTGGTAAGCCTGTGCGATTTGTTAAGTTGTAAATTATTATACACATCTAATTTTGGTGTAAAAAGAGTTTAAATTGAAATAAACTTTTGTATAAGTTAATAGATATTTTAAACGATTTTGTTAATACTAAAGCTACCAGAATGACTTGTATTTAAGTCACTAATACGAACAATTTTTGCTTTGCTTGATTAGTTTTGCGTCTTTAGGCTTTTTTAGCTCTTTTATGAATGATAAAGATTTCACTTTTACCAGATGAAATAATATGCTTCTTGCACAGACTTGTTTTTTAAGTTTAATGTGGGTGAAATACTTTAGAAACTATTGTACTCACAAGATACTTTTCAGCACTTGCATTTTCATCCAAAGGATAAATCTAAGCTTATGAGATTTTGGGCTCTTTTGCAAAATGTTTGTTTCAGTTGCAGCTAAAGATATTTTTTATGAATTTTGTATATACACATAAGATACTTTTAAGCCGCTCTACTTTTCTATCTTTGTGCTTGGCAAATTCTCAAGAATGCTGGCAGCCATAAGACACTTTTTAGTTTGTTACTCTTTGCGGCTTCTGATGGGAGTTTTCCGAATGTGCGTGTGGTCGCCATTTTTCAGCCCCCTCCACCGACTTTTCCCATTCGTCGGCCAATCACTTAATGCGCCTTTAATTTGCGTGCCCTTTCTGCTTTTGGCCCCGAGTTGCAGGGAATGAGCCGCTAATGTGTTTCGGTTTGGTCCCCGGCAAAAAGGCAAAGGCAAACATATCACTTGACGCGCCTAATGAGTCTGCGAGGGGGTTTGGCTTTCCAGGGGGGTGGGGTTTTTCAGGGTACCGGGGGTGGCGTGGCAGATATTACCGCTGGCGACTTTGACTAAGTTGCGGCCACCAGCATTTGTTGCTGATGCTGTCGACAACTAAGTATTTATAAAGAATTTTCCTCCTTTCTGTAAACAACTTGTGGTTACACAGAAAAAAATGGCGTATGTGATGTCTTAAAATCTTTTTTAGTAAAATATCACTAGTTTTACGTAGACAAATATTCACAGAATTCTAGAGTGTTTTATTCACTTTTAAATTAAAAGAATAAATTATTTTATAAAAATAAGTGATCTAAAACCATTAAATAAATATCTCATAAATTAAAAAGAAATTCCGTTCAGTGTACTAAAACAACTAAACATGAGCCCCCACTTTTCTTTACCCCCCACTTAATTTTTTCATCTCCTTTCAACAACTGGCACAATGGAATTGCATTGAAAACAAACAGTTAAGAATGTTTATAAACAAAACATAGAAAGAATGCGGTGGGTGGGAGGCGGAAAAATGGGCGGGTCTGGGGCCAAAGTGGCGCAGAAGGTGAAAGTATAACGTTAAATGTAAACAGTAAGTGGAGGTGCGAAAAAAATGCGTAAACAAAAATTGCATTGCAACATTAAGAATGCGTCTACAACATGTTGCTAAATCGCTAGCAACATCAACAAAAGAAAAACATGAGAGCAAGGAAGAGAGAATTGTAAAAGAGAGAGTTCATTTTCGAACTTCGAATTTCGAAGAGACGATTTTTCGTATGTGTGATATGAAAAATAACATTGAATTTTCATGCCGGCTGGTGTTTTTGTTGTTTTTGCAATTTTACATGCAGCTGAAAAACAGCAGCAAAGAAGTAAAAAACCAGGAAAATACTGAAAAGCGCTGCCTCCCCTTTTTTATCCCCCGCCACTCCCACCAGACATTGACCTTGATAGTGGTCGTTGTTGTTCCTGTTGTTGTTCTTGGTTGGCTGATTGAATGGCTTAAAATGGTTATTTTGGTTACTGATAAATCATGATTTTAACAGAACCCATTATGTTCCACATTAAATTGGGTCTTGAGTACGTTTTTAATGGCCAGGTGAGGTAATTGATATCTACAAAAGTAATTTCCCAAGTTCATGAGACACTAAAACCATTTGTGAGATCTGTTTGGAAGCAACAGTCATACCTTAATATACGAAGCGGTTCTTAATTTTCTAATTTTAATATACATGTACAAACGATAACTATTTCTGCACTTATTATTTAAACAACATGTGGCAAGATTTTTATTTGGGCTTGGCTTCCCTGGGATACAAATAAAGCTTTTATCATTTTATAACTTATCACTTTATCATTGCATAGGGGAACTACCTATGTCTTCTGAAAACTTTCCACAAAAATGTGTAAAAATGTTCGTATTTTGAATTCACAAGAACCAGCGGAATTTTTTTTTGATTGTCGTGTAAAATAAATAAATACAACAGATTAATCATGATTATAATATAGCCAAAAAAAATGTTTAAATAATTGTTCAGAAAGAAATATATAGCTCTAAAAAAAGAAAGAATTTTTGTAAATTTTGGCTTAAACAAAGTTCAACGGCAGCAAAATTTAAATTGCTGTGCTAAACATTCTTTTGACGAAAATATCTAGCTGAGCCAGGGTAATTTGATAAATTCTTAATATTTGACAGCAATTTAATTAATATTTTAAAACATTTGTATATTATTTTTGGGCGTCGTCAGCAGCTACATCAACAATTTCCCAGCGCCAGCGAATGGCAACTGCAACGACAATCTGTGAAAATCCCGATTAGTATGAAACTACGGAACAAGTTCATCCGCTCGCGAATCTCTCCTCTCTCCGATTCTCTCGGGAAACCCTGGGGAGAAGTTCATTTTCCCCGAACTCTCGACTCTCTCGTTTCGGCAACCGGCAACCGAAGTTGCTGGCGTGCTGTTGCTGCTGCAGATATTGCTGCCGCGATGTTGCTGCTGTTGCCGCCATCGTCAGTCGCTCGAAACGAATTTGAAATTCAGTTTTTGACTCGACGTCGCCGAAAACGGACGTGAGCGTCTCGCGTGTTGCCCCAAAAATCGAACTGAAAATCGTTAACGGAATACGAGACTTATTTCAAGTTATGTGAAACACAAAACAAAAATACACAAAGCGAAAATATTTACCACAAATCCCAAGCAATCGATTCACGCGCCGTGCAAAGAAAATAAATGTTTTGAAATATAATATCACAAATATTCTGTGTTCAGTGATACACCAAAAAGTTATCAAAAAGCAAAGCGAAATTTAATAAGCAATACATTGTTGAAATAATTGGCTTGAATCTGATTTGATAAGTTAGCAAAAGACAACCAGAAACAGTTACACGAATCACTTGACAAACATCCGTTGGAGTATAAAAGCAGAACAGCGGGTAAGTGGGCAGAGAATGGAAAATGGAAAATCAAACCTGGATATGCCGCAGAGAAATTGAAACTTTTACGCAGCGGATTACTTGGCGATTTGGGTTGAGCTTCTGTAGGCGACTGTAAATCTTCTTAGCGGAGATCAACGGAATTTCCTTTGATTAGGGAATTACCCCATCGAAATCAAAATATGTTTAAACTTGCGTTTTCTAATCTTCAAAGTGCGGTGACTAATTGAAACGAGCAGAAGAATGCGTTTCAGAGGAAGTAAGGCCATAAAACATATGATTTATGGGAGGAAGTTGGGAAAACGCATAAGAATTATTCAAATAAGCAAGTGATGGATTATATCTGATTCCAAACAAAATTCCCAGAAAGTGTGCGATGTGTCTATCAAACAGATATGTTTATCCATATAGAATTACGCCCGGGTGATGAGTGATTTTTTTTTGTGGAAACTCCAGATATCAGTTGTTCGCTTTATGGCAGCACAGAACTCTCGTGGCGACCCATTCGACTCCAAGAGAATGTAAACAAATCATCTCTGGGCTTCGCTGGGGCTGCGGTTTCTGCCCTTCTTCAAAGCGAAGAAACCGCCTAAGACCCAAGAAAATAAAGAGAAAAAACGCGGAGAGGAGACCTTTAATTATAACCAAATACTAGTTGAGGCGACACCTTTGTTTACCTGCGTTTCCGAGCGCTGTGTTTTTCCATTCTGGAAATTTGTTTAAATTATTAGCAAACGCGCAACAAGTGCAGCAAGGCGAAGTTCATTATTTTTCCCGGCACTCTTGCGTGTAAATCCTTTGGTAAATAAGTATCCCCCGCCTGTCGGCAGCATAACTCATAAATTCACGCAAAATAAAATTTATGTTTCGACTGGAGTTGGGGATGCTAGACAAGGAGATGTACGAAAGATCGCGATAAGATCTGGTCTTAAATGAGTTGTTAAACGGGAATCGTGGCCGCCATGGATATAAATAATAATAACAACTCAATCTGGAGTGGCGTGGGTAGTTTGAAATGTCGCCGAACAAGTGAACTCTTTGCGGCCCCAAAAGATTATGGAATCGGTTTCGTGTGAATGGGAACCTTTCTACCTGTTTGGCAAATTGAATTTTAATTCGGAATTGAGTTGTACACATGTCGGCCCTTTTTCACAGGATTTCCGCTTGCTGTTTAGCCTTTTTCGAATGAAATCCCTGGGCTAATTAGTATGCGGAACGTGTGCCCATGAAATTTATCAGCCAACTTGCTTTTCTCCATAGTTGAAACATAAATTTCAGAAAAGTGTCGTCTGCTCTACTGCACAGAAAAAAAATTAATTCCATTATAAATTTGATAAATTAGAGAGTAAAATATTTAATAACTAAGCTCTATACAGCGAACAAATTCCAAAAATATGGTTCATTATATGTTATTACATCCAATCATTCCTGAAAGGTATCCATATTTTTTCTCTGTGTTGTCTGCCTAAAAGAACTAAGTTCAGGCAACTTATGGCATATGCCTAAGCTACTTACAAGGTAAACTCTGCCCAAGCCTCAAACAGAAAGTGTCTTATGCAAATAGCTCTATATGGGGGACAGAAATAAAACATTGGCAGAAGAATATTAAGCAGTAAGAAATTGTAAACACAAAGCAAAATATTTGTTATACGCTTGTAAATTTATCGCGACAGAAAACTCCAGCCGGGCAGGGGAAAGCGTAGGAAAAGCGAAAGGAAAAGGAAAAGCCGGATAGCAGGGGAAATTTGGGAGGCTGTTTTTCACGCTCAGCTGCCCGGCGGCCGAATAGTAGAAGAGACTGGAACGTAAAGGAGCCGAGCCGGAATAACAGAAAAAACTTTATCGCAGTGCTCGCAGGACATGAATTTCCCCCCGTCCTTGCCTCCTTCAACCTTAATGCTGAGTGACATTGATGTGACATGCCGTCATCTTGCCCTCTCCCTCCTTCCTTGCTTTATTTAAAAGTTTTACTTTAGCTTTTTTTTCTTGCTTAACGCCTCGGGGGCGTGGCAAGTATTGTTTGGTTAGTAGAGCACACACCTTGTGGAAAACAACGGCCCATGAGACCCTTGGCCCTGGCAAATAATAAATGATATGTAAACTAAGTCAAAAGTTGCCGTAGGTTGGGTAAATCACAACTTAGCAGGCAAAAGCAAGCCCAGATCTCGGTAATTTGTGCGTGTGGCCAAGCCCACAGGCATTCGCCAGAGATTAAATTTGAAAATGTTGAGAAAGCCGGCTTTAAAGTAGTTTAAAATACGCAGAGAATAGTTCTTAGAAATAAAATTCAGTACTTTTACAGCATATTTATCTCCAAGGCTCTGCTTTCCTCGTTTAATGTCTCTATTTCATAGATATCAGCTTAAAATTGTAAATCAATTTAAGTTGTCTCAAAAATAATTTCAGTTTTATGGACTAGTTAAGATAAGGCCTGAAGACATAAACCCTCAAAGACATAGTCTCACAGATTTGCAACCATTATTTCTGAGGATAATTCCAACTGTCTGCCACATTTGTTCCACTTACGAGTCCGACAATCCCCCGCTGCGATACCAAAACCCTAACTATAATGTCTCAATATGCGAGCAACAAAAAAAAGTACCGAAGAGAACGATACAAATTCTTACCTGAACCAAGTTTTTTCCAGGCCAGACAACTACGACGCACCCATATCAATTTCCTCTATGCGACCCAAAACGAATTAAAATTACACATTGACTGGCGGTCAAAAAAGGAGAGGGAGACATACGTAGTATCGACAGTAGGGATTTCGGAGGTCCTTTGCCTTGAATCCAAAGGCCTGTCGCCAATGGCCGGAGAACATTTATCATTGAAGCTAATAAATGCGTTTCCCTTACCTGACCGACACGAACCCAATTCCAATTGAGTCACACAGCAACCCCCGATACGAGGCCTGACTTTTGGGCTGTGTCCATCTAATTTTGCTTCTTTCCTTTCTCTTTTTTTAGTCTAACAATTTCCCAATCAAACAATTCAATTATGGAAGTGTATAAATTTCAGCCAGCTGTTCTTGTACTTGAACCGCAATTGTCTTTTGTCAAGTACTGGAAGAAATTTTCCCGAAATAAATCAACGACGAGTTGAAAGTGCGGAAAGTGAAAGGAAGATGGGAGAAATTGCGTTTTCCTAGGGGGATAAATGGAAAACCCTTTTAATTGGGCCTGAAGTGTTTGAGTTATGATTGCGAGGTAATCCAAAATCGAAGCCTGGCAGCTGTCTTACGAATACGCCCAGCTTTAAAGCAATTATTCGAGTTGGAGCAGCTTTAAGACAATTATCTAAGTGCTTTTGCCCTTGCCTTTGATTGCGGATTCAGCCGTTCTTATCGAAACGAGTTGCCCACGCTAATTGCCCCCCGCACTCCGGCACCTGATTCGGTTAGGACTTTGATTTCCATTACGCTTCCTTTCGAGCCTGTCCTTCACATTTCCGTTTTACGCTTCAGTTAAGTCCAGTTCAGTTCTCGGCTTAAAAGGCGGAGCAATAGGGATGGCATACAAGCCAGTCGACTTAATCTCAAAACAAATCGATTTCGTTGACTGTCTGTCTGGCGTTTGGGTTTCCTCGGCTTGGCGCTCCTTCGGCTGTTTTTCTACACGATTTATTTCATTATTCTCCTCGGCCGATGGTTTTTTTAAGTTTTTGTCTCCTCAAGTTAATCACCCAGGCCAGACAATTCAATCGATTTTTAAGAGAGCCAGCCAAAACTAAAGCTTTAAGTTTGGTGTGCACATTTTCTTGAAACCCAATCTTGTCTTTGGTGATTTCTTTTCCGTTTTTATTTCGGCTTTACTTTTATTTTCGTCTGATTTCTTTTGTTACTTATTAGTTTGCTCTGCGCTGGACTTCAATTCAATTCAATTTTCTTTACAGCATTTCATCTTTGAGATGTTTTGTGTGTCCTACCGACTGTCTGTTTGTCATTGTGTTTATATTGTATATCCAAGAACCCCTCCGCCATTCTCCTCCCGTTTCCTACTTCAGGCCGTTGTCGTCTTCGTTTTTAATATCTTTTAATCTCCAATGTCAACAGCGGCTTACATTTGATTGCAAGACAACACACACAGATACTGGGTATATATATTTTTTTTTGAGATCTTATCAGGCTGCAGTGCCTCGAATCCAGACTCTTTTCTCCGCCGTTCCTCTCCAGAACTGTCAGCTAATTAAACGAAGCCAACTGGCAACATATGTTGGGAACGAAAACGAGAATAAGATTCAGCCTCAGAACGAGATTCAGAGTCGGAATCACAATCACAATCCCAATCCCAATCCCAACCTTGGACTTGGACTACCCCACACACAACAGATGGGGAATTCTCTCGAGCTGTCAGTGCATCTGAGAGACAAGTACCACCAACAGCAGCCAAATGCTGAAGTTTCGATTAAAACGCCAGCTATTCAGCTACCCAGCTACTCAGCTACCCATCTACTTACTGCGCCTCATAATATATCGGATTGCCGCGCAGGACCATCAATCATCAGTCCTAACTCAATCGAACCCCGAAACCTTAACGCCGAAAATGGTTTCACCAAGTCAACCGTTTTTTCTCAATTATTTTGTCAGCATATGTGTGAAGAAAAAACACAACCGCAGCCAAAAAAAGGATAATAATAATAAAAGTATTGAAAATAGAAAACAAGGAGCACACACGCTGGAAAAACTCAGGGTAAAACAATTGCCAGTGAGTCGACGGAAATCAGGGTGCAAAGGGATAAAAATAGCAGCGCTGGCGAGCAAAGTAAATAAAAATAAATAGCAAAAAATGGAAACGCATTAAGGAAAATCAATAAAAATTAACATTTGGCCACAAGGTTCCAAGGGGAGGTTCCCGGGGGGTGGTTGGGTGGAAGATTTTATTTTACTTTCGGTTGGCGGGCAGCCGTGTTCGCGGGGAAATTGGCAGGATCAGGCTATTTAAAGATAGGGAACCCGGCAATTGTTACGTGCCAGGACATCCATGTGTCAGATAATTAGCACACAAAAGGAGACACAAGGACACATGCTGAGTACTTTTCAACTAACCAGAGTCCCTTTCCTTTTTTCAGCTACAAGGCCGCCAATGAAGGCTGTCCAGATGACAGCGATCGGGCAGCGAATTTGACACGCACCCAAAAACTTTAAAGCGATACTAAACCGAACCGGGAAACCCCATAGATAATCCCCCGCAACCCCGAAGATCGAGGAGGTATACGCGTCTACCACACCCCGCCCATCCGAAGTCACACAAATTCAATGTGGAAAATGCTGGATATGATGGATCTGTCCGAAGCCGAGCTCTTCATGTTCGACTGCGACGACTGTTCGGGCACACCCCTGGCCCCACCGCCCCAATTCCTCGTCCCACCGCCACCAAGGCCGCCGGCTCTGGCCGAATTCACGGTGGTGCCGCAGGATTGCAACGAGGAGCAGTTGGCTCAGCAACAATGGGAGAGCGATATCTGCCAGGCAATGCCGGTAAGTTGAAAACAATCGATTTAACACTCAAGAATTTAAGCCGTATTTGCAATATAAACCTTTTTTTAAGTAAAAACATAAAAAGCATATCACTATCAAAATAAATATAGCTACATTATAGCTTTCTTTAATCTCTAATTTAAAACAACTTTTACTCAAAGCTTAAATCTGTACACTCGCAGAAGGATTTCATTCCTGACCTTAGGTGACAGTTTTCTTCCCTCAGTGCAGCTTAGGCTGATTATAATTTTGAGGGCGTTGCAAATGGGATTTCCCAGCCCAAAACCCACGGGTGGATGATTATGCAACCCCCTCCGCAGTGTCATAATGAGGCCTGCATTTTGGCACAGCTGTTGAGATTTTCCCCTGCACTGTTGATTTTACGTTTCCCGAAACGAGTTGCAAGTGATTTGGCTTTTTGTGAGAGGTGTCAGAATTGTATGTTGCCTTATTGAATTATGTGCTATATGCGTATTACAATAACAAAAGCCTTCTTGTCGCTTTTCAAGTGGTGGGTTGTGGCGGTGGGCGTGGCCGGGGAGTTGATTATGAGCTGGTACTGCTGCAAATAAATGTTAACAGTTGAGTAGGCACTCGAGAAATTAACTGAAGGATGCGAATTGATTTATTGACGAGTAAGAAATGCGGCACCTGATCGAAAATCTGTTCGATTTGTGGGCTGGAGGGATAATTGAAAGAAATAATGGCGAAATAACAATTATTTTAATTATACATTTATGGTGAAAAAAAATAAAACTACCGCAGTATTCATTTTTTAAAGTTTAAATTCAGCGTATTTGCATCTAACTTTTTGTTCTTACATTTTAAATTTGTTTAACATTCAGTCTCCATCCAAACTACTTTACCTCTTTAAGGCCATTTAAGTTTAAGTCTGCCACCCAAACAAAAAACAAAAAGGGATTCGATGAAAAATTGCCAACATGCCACGCCCACTCGAACACACATCGCCCACTATTCGGGTGCCGTCAGACACCGCAAGGAATCGCTTTAAAGCAAAGCGAAACAAATTTCTTTTCGTTTCAAGTCCTTTTGGCCTCCAGTTGCCAGAGCAACAGCTGTTGCTCCTTGGAGTGTTGTTGCTGCCCTCATTATTATGAGGACGGTAAGGACGATGATGACGATGATGACGATGCTGGCCATCCCCTTGGACAGTGGAAACACAGTTACAGAAATTATAATAACAATGAAAAGTTAAGCGGCAGCAACACACAAAAAGGACAACAACTGTAGTGGCAACAAAAAGCATTTTTCGGCCGCCAGTCGTCGGCAACATATGGCCCGAAATCAACCCTCAACTTTAAAAGGTTGTCAGCGGTTACAAAGGAAAAATAGATATTTCTATATTATTTGTGTTATGCTGCCAGAAAAACGGCCAGATAGATACTTTTAATGTGGAGAAACTGAAACTCGGCACTCGTCTAATCTGGGGCAAGTGTTTGTTTAGGCGCTGAGGGCTGGGGTTCTGGTAAAACAAAGATCAAATTCCACATATCAACACCGCAGCGGTCATTGATAAAATTTCACGGGCCCCAAAAAACAGTCCGCCAGCGAACTCCACAACCCCTGGACTCATTCGGCTCCAAGTTCGAGTGTTTTCCACTTAATTTCCAACATGATAAATTTAAATAAATATAACCCAAAACGAAACGCAACGCGATGGTTGGAAAAATGTATCCATATAAACCGGATCTGTGTGTGGTCCCCTCATCTTAGAGTATTTTCTGTGTGGGCACTTGAGGCTGTCTCCATTTGATTTATGCTGACAAATCAAATGTTAATGTTAACATGCAGTTTATGTCAGAAACTGTATCTCACGGCCCTCGTCTAGAGTATCAAAAATCCAGCCAAAAGAGAGATTATTTTAGATATTAGACCTTCGATGGGGAATTGCAACTCCACATAAATCGCAGGTAAACACATTAAAATCTCGACGAAATCAGCTTAAAATCAATTCGAGCAACCGAATCAATTTAATGGATTAGCGTTCACGAATAAAATTCAATGGCGGAAAGCTCTCTCGCCCATCAAATTGATAAGTTTAACGGGAATTGTGCCAATTTGGTGGTGTGCTGGTCTGCGTGTGGATGTGGGTGTGGGTGTAATTGTCAACTGGCAGAAGGAAAGCGAAAAAAAAACCGTAGAGGAAAGCTCGAAAAAACGGCGAGGAAAAACCTTTAAAAGGCAAGCGGAAGTGGCATCCTCGCTAGACATGCGAAATTAAATTTCCAGCGAGTGTGTTTGTGTGTGCTCGAGCCAAGGAGCAAAAATACTTGACAAGCAGCTTCTGATTTGCTCCAATGGGCGTGGCAGAAAATAATCCTTTTTCCAGCTTTCACTTCCTTCATCCTCCTTGAAAAATATTTAAACCTCTCCTTTAAGCAGACGAGAAACTGTTGAAGATGATGACAAAGGAGGGGTTGCGGGGCGGGGCCCGAAGGACTTGGGTGTGTAGCAAATAGCATGACATTGATATCAAATGTCGTGAGAATGCGAAATTCCTTAGCTACTTCCTCTATATATAGCTACATTTTGTTGCCTTTGGCTTTTGTTGTAGTCTGCTTTTGGGCGCTTTGGCTTTTGGTTTCGGAGGAATGGCTGGATGGGTGGGTTGGCTTGGAAGAACGAGTGGGTGGTGTTGGCATAGAATGACAAGGCCGTTGTTGTTGCTGCTGTTTAGTGTTGATGTTGTTTACAGTTGACATAGCCAGACACAGCTGCAGACAGTCACAAAAATCAGACAGAGAAAGGGAGCTGAATGAAAAATATTTGTGTGCACAAAAATTGAATTTTCCTGCGAGCATAAATATTCTTAAAAATTATAATATCCTTTTGCTTGAATAAATAAGATATTTTTGTATATAAATGTAAAAATGTGAATAACTTGAAGAAGTGATTCCTTTAACTCAATCATTTAAAATGGTTTTAATCTCCTAAAAAGTTGATTGTGCTTGGCTGTAAAATGATTTATATTTAGTTTAGTTACAAATAAGTTCAGCTCATTCCGGCCATTCCTTTTTTAAATTTAAAGACATTGCGGTGCTTTAACGAAATGTAGTTTCTTAACGTACAATTTAAAATGCTCCCCTTAGTAAGTTTTCCACTTTAGCCACATCGGCCCTACAAGTTTTGCAACTCATTACACCCTCCGAACATCTTATGGGAATGGGGCTCAATCACGAGCTGTTTCCAAACAATTGCACTGCCAAGTGGTTACAAAAACCGAGGGGGAGAAGGAGCTCTTGGGCGGTGGTGGATATCCACCAGGTCGATTGTCGATATGCACGTGCAATGAAATCGAAGTTGGAACGGGAGCTTTGGGGTGCTAAAAAAAAAAGCGGCAGCCACACATGCATCGCATGCTCGAAAAACTTTTGCCATGTTATCAAAGCAGCCAAGTTCTGGCTTTGTTGCTGTTGCTGTTGCAAAATAGTTTTCATCCTGCAAGTGGCACGTGCTTGTTGCTGGCTTTTCCTTTTGTCGTGTTTTGATGGTGAAAACTTTTGTGTTTTTCTCATCAGGCACGAAAATGAAAACGCGCTCGTCGTTGACTTTGCGAACGAAAAGTTGTTAACTTTAAAGTTTCTGAAGCGGTGAGAACTTTTCTGTGGGTGGTGAAAACCATTTTGACGACTGATTTTGATGACTTGCCAAACGGTTGCCCATTCTACAATGTTGCCACAGCTTTTTTATGCACTTTGGTCACACTTAAAAATTGGGTCAAAGGCAAACATTTCACTTTACGGCCTACTCAAGTCGACTGCCGCCTGCCGCCCTTGAGGCTGGGTGATTTTTCATGATTAAAAAGTTGCCACAAGGCCGGAAAAACACTCGCACCGACCCATGAAAACCCACACGCATAAAAGTAAACAACGTTTTGCAGCTTTGGCTGCGTTAATCTCACTTAGCCTTTTTCCCGCTTTTTATTATTATTATTTTTTTGGGAGGGTGTAAACTTTAAGCCATAATTTTATATTCCGCCCCGCCCGAAACCCGCCGACTAATGGCTTTTGTTGTCTGCAACTTGAAGGAGGGCTTAATTATTTTATCGGCCAAGTTGTTCTCGATGCACAGAAAGAAAAACTTTTATTCAGAAATTATGTGAAATGTCAAATGGCAGCAGTATAAAGCTTAGCAATTTATTTGAAATATTCATTTAATATATTGTTTAAACTAGGAAACAATTTTCTTTTTTCATATACTGTTTACATTTCACTGTATTCCCTAGACATAAATCGTTCAAACTCTTATCGTTATCTTTTGTTTACATTGCCTACTCCTTTTTTTCTGCTTTTCTTTATTTAATTTAATTTATGGAATGCCCAGGGCCTGTGCAGTGTGTGTTGTTAAACAGGGAGCGAGGGGTGAGCGGTTATTACAAACGGCCTAGATGGAAAGCCTTCAATCATACCGGTGGCACTGTGGCACTGCTTATCTGGGCAAACAGCGGACAACTCTACTTCTGTTGTTATCGATAATGCGACTCTGTTTGCTTTACCGTTTGTAGTTTTTGTATTTCGTTTTTTATCTTCGGGTTAATCCGTAAGGCAGCTGGAAGCGTTTCGGTGGCAATCGACAACTGTCGCAATGTGTACTATTATTGCCCTCACCGCCTCTCCAGAAACAAGCTCCACTCATTTATTTGTTTGGCCCCAAAATGAGCATTACAAATAGGTAAACGCCTTGCGAGTCCACAGTTACACATGTATTTGAGATTTATCGATTATCAACGCACAGGCACGCAGTCACACACAATGCAGTTCAAAGTTGACTGGAAAATGTGTGAAGCATACGAAGTGAAAGAGGGAAATGTTGCTTAGGCGAGACAAAAGGAAATTGTTTCATTTTCTTTTCACACCAAAAAAAAAATCAAATGACGCAAGTGTGATTTCTATAAATTCATTTGGGAATATGATAGAAAAAGAGGATTGAACTTATATTATTGTAGGGGAACGTGTGGGCATATTCGTTTTAACTTAGATTGTGTAAATGTTGAAATTGGTTAATATATAAATGTTTTGTTTTGGCACCTAAATATTTTAATTTTACTAGAATTGTTTCCGAAATACCTTAACATAACATATTATATAATTTTATGTTGTCTAGTATGCCCTTGGCAATTTCCCAGAGTCCCCACAATGCTCCAAATTGAAACGAAATTAAATGATTGAAGCCCAAAGAAAAGACAGAGGGAAAAACGCGTGTCAGGTCTCATTAATCAATTTGATTACGAGCATTTGAGCAGTTCCCCTGCCAGATTTCAAGCTTTTGGCGTTACACTCCACACACATGCCGCACATAATTGTTTAATTTATTATTATTTGTATTTGGTTTTGTGCTCGCTTTGGAGTCGCTCGGCGATTTGTCTCTGAATGGGTTTCAAAATAAAAATTTCTTCATTTTATTTGTGTGCGTTTGGCTTGGCAGCGATAAGCGTTCCAAATGCGAGCAGCTTTGGGGCTCCCCGCCTTCCCCCTTTTTCGATAATTTAAACAATTTCGCCATGTGGAAGGCGGCTGCTGGATGTCAATATTTTAATGGCTTATCTCTTCGGGCTAGATGGAAATGCTCTCCAGTTGTAATGTCTGTTTGTTTACGCTCTCAATCCGTATTTGTTGCTCTCAATGAAATATGAATAATATTTATATTAGCCGCGAGCGCATGATTAATTACTTGGGCTGATAAGCGTTTGAATCGCTTTGTAAGCCAGTGAGTGCTTCCGCATTTTGCGGCAAACTGTGCCACTCGTATTTGTGTTTGATGTGCGCAAATAAATCAAAATCGGAAAGTTGGAAAAATGCTTTTAATAAATTAGTAAATGCACAAAATGCATTACGAATTAAAGAGTAACCTACATACGACAACAAAGAGACCCAGTTAAATACACACACTCATACAGTCGCCGGCGAAATTATTTGCACAGCTGTCAAAGTTTGACCTCAATTTCTGTGTTTGGCCAAGCTGCATCTCTCCCACTCCCTCCCTCTGTCCCCGTCTCACTCACTCTCCCTGTCTGAATTGGCCAAAAAATATTTTCCATGTTTTTGAGTGATTTATGCCCCGTGTGTGTGCCAACGACAGGTGCATTTGTGGAGGAGTTTTCCCTACTTCTTTCGTTTGTTGTTATGACTCTCGGGTCAAACGCCCAACGAAAACGAAATAAAATAGGAAATAAATAAAAATACTTAATGCAAAATATTTCAGACGGCTTATCTTCTTTTGACAGTGACGGCTGAGAGGCGGAAATTCGATAAGCTGAGTGGCCAGTCGAAAGAGATTAGAAAAATGTTAGGAAATTAAAATTTTTGAGCAGAAAAAAATTAAAAACTTCATATGGTTTATTAAAAAAAGGATAAAGAATTTTAAAGTCTTTTATATGATTGCCTATTACTAAGGTTCCAAAAAACCTCTTATCAATCTTTATTCACTTTTCGTATCAACTGATTTGCCTTATTTATCCCCGACTTCATCATTTATTTAGCAACTTTTTTTTGCATGCCCAAGCATAAATTCAAAGGCAAATTGCCCGCCTTATCCCCACTCAGCTGACCTTAATTTCCTGGGCCCGGTCGAAAAAAAGGTAAAACGCCTACACTACCCTGCCTGAATTTGAGGAAAAGCCAAGTAACCGAAAGGTTAACAGCCCAAGTCGCGTGCGCTGCGCTTTTGTTTGCATTTCGTTAGGCATATTTACGAAAATATTTTCTTCTTTACAACAGTTCGGTTTTCTTTTGGGCCTCGCGTTTCGGGCTTTGTTTATATGCAAAATGGCTTTGTGTTTGAGTTGAGCGTTGATTTACTCACATTTAACTTTTACTTTTCCCCCCACTAAATCCACTGTTTTCCCCTCTTTATCTTTGCAGATCTTGGATGCCAGCCTGTACAGCAGTCAGTCGTTGGCCACATCGGCCATGATAGCCGTGTTCTCGCTGCTCTTGGTCTTGATTGTTCTCATCTCGTCGCTGTTCGTTTGGAAGTAAGTACACTCGAGAAACATTATACAACAATTGGGGGAAATTTTAACTCAGGTCGAACAAAAAAAAATATTAAAATGTTTACCATATCAAGCTAATAGTTTTTAATAAAATCAAAATTTGTAGTGTAGAGTTCTAAGTCTGAACAATTGCTTTACCTTATTTTGTTCGGTGTCGAATGCAAAGATCTCCGCAATGACTCAATTACTTGCTTGGCCCACACACACACAATGCTTTTCCCTTGCAAACGCCTTGTGTGGCTTTGTCTTGACTATTAAAGCGGCTTGTCCCCTTCTGGCAACTATTTTTTCTTTGCTTTTCCTTACCGCAGTGGAAGCTGTAGACTTTAGAGGCTTTAAAGGAGGCGTTAACCATTGCCCGCAACATGTTGCTCTTTTGCCTTTATGATTTATGAGGTTCCGAACCGCAGGAAAAAAGTTTCCAGTGGTAGATAGCTGGGATGCGATAAAGAGGCGGAGTAGCTGCATTTTATAAATATTTTAAGAAGGCAGAGAGGACAGTTAAGTTAAGGAATGTTTAGTATAAAATAAATCCAGATTGCAAATGCATATTACAATTTCAAAGCTGCAAAATAAGAACACTGAACATACTTTTGCCCCCCAAAAAACTTAATCAACTCAGGCAGCTCAGCGGATAATAAATTTTCTACCAACCCTGGCAAATAGTATGAAGTGCAGGTGAGCTGGTAAAAACGCTGTGGCTAAACGTGTTGAGCCGCAAAAATGTTAACGCCATATGAAAAACGCAAGCAATGCATAAGCATTATAAAACTGTATCAAAAATGTATGTAAACATGCGAAAAAATTGTTGAAAAATAGTAGAAAAAAAAACTAGGGAAATAAAAATACATTTGCTAAAGCTGTCGAAACGGGCAGCAAAGAGAATGAGAGGGGGAGAAAAAAGGAAAGAAAGAAAGAGAGAAAAAACGCATTGCCAAACGAAAATTAATGTAGTCTACTTTTGAGCGGAGCCACACTGACCTATATGGCAATGTAAATGTGTGCGTGGGTGTGCGGTTGCACTTAAAACCGAAACTAAATTAAATTGAAATTTTAAAATAAATGTTGCTGCAGCAGCTACAAGGAAAAAAACGCACGTGAGAAATGGTTCAAGCACACAAGTGGAAAAAAACCGACTCACATGCACACACACACACACACGTAAAGATATAAAACAATTTACTATTGCAGTTCCCGCAAAAAAAAAAAATACACTCGAAAAAAAACTCAGTGAGATTGCAAACGAAATGAAATCTGCTGCAGAAATAAACCACAAAAGAGGTGCAGAAAAAAGGGGCCGAATGAAACAAGCCCTGGACATTGTTTGCATGTAATGCAGTGTGGAAACAGAGCCAGGAAAAGCTTGAAAAGCTGGAAAAGATTTTTGCACGCACAGCAGAGTAGAAAAGAGAGGCAGCTAGATAATGGCTATAGGCAAGGCCAGAGCCTTTTCTACTGCCTTTAAAGGGTTTAAATGGCACAGATGCGAACTTAAGGATATGGGGTTTCTAGAGGATGTGGCCAAACCCACTCTTTTCCGCTCATTAACATCAACAAGTGTTGAAGTAACATGCTCCCAAAACCCAAGGCTGTCCCAAAATCGATTTTCCTTTCAACAACAATACGAAACTTGCTCGGAAATATTCATGGGTCTATGGCAGAAGAGGACGAGGAGTTATTGCTACAAGCGATTTTCATACATATTCATTAAAGTTTGCTGACCGCACGCACGCACAGTGGGCGGAAAATGGTTGGGAAATTGGGAGGGGGTGGCAGGAGGAGGAAAAACATCACTGACTGTTGTTGTTGTGCTTCATCATTTTTGAGGTTATGTCCAGGCAAACAAAGGCAGCAAAAAAAAACAGGACAAGCGGGCATCTTTATTACATAGTTATCTATGCATGCGTGTGGGTGTATCTGCTTTAAGTGTCTAACTGACCGCCCCCAAAACTGTGTCTATGTGTGCGTGTGTGTGTTCATGCCATTTCTGTGGCATTTATGATGTGGCACATTATTTTTGCTTTTATGTGCTGCGTGTCCTGGACCCCAGAAGCATGAGAAAAGAAGGACAAAAAACACACAACTATGAAAAACCATAAATAAAATAGCAACTAATTTTATTTATATGGTTGTTTGGGCCTCAAAACAAATCAAATAATCACAAAACGACACTTTAAGAAAAAGTTTGCTGTTTGGCTTGTGGAATTATTGATTTCTGCTTTATCTGTCCCGCTTTGTGGCTTTTAAAGTCTTTTTAAATAATTAATTAAAATGCCCTGTCAGCTTTCCCCGAACCGATTATCATATAAAATTCAAGCCATAAATTGCATTTATTATGATGCACTCGGCCCTTTTTTTCAACCGTGCTCCATTTCCGCTGGTAATTACCTTAATTATTTTAATAAACCGCCAGAGTGTTTTCAGCACTCACCGATGGCCGCACACTTTGCTGCAAATGTTTGCATATTGGAACTTTATAAATTACACGATATGTAAGTGCTATGCCAAAAACCATAAGCAACATGTGTGCGTGTGGCGGCAAATGCAAAAAAAAAAACGTTTAAAAAAATCTGAAGGCCTTGTTATTAAAATTGTTAACATTATCGTCAGTTAATAATATTTCAATAAATGTACATGCTTAATTTGTACACACATATTTTCCCCTGGCAAATGGTGGAGAAATATTTAACAAATTTAAGGCCGCAACAAAGTCAAGGCCTTAGCAAAAAGTTCATTCATATTAAATGAACAGGGAAGGCATCGAGACCAGAAGAAGTAAAAGTTATGGCAGCATTAACATTGTTGACTGGTAAATAAGTAAAATCAATTTAACCTAACTGTTGGCTCTGTTTTTTATTTTGCCTGTTTGACTTTATCTGGAGCGGTTGCTATCAAGTATGCAAAAACAATCACAATTTCAGCTTATTAAAGCCAAGGAGCGTAGCTCATTATGGTTGTCTTGGCATTTTCCCTATTAATCAAATGCAACCGTGCCCCTCGGGGCTTCCAGAGTTGCCATGTGACCGTGTGACGCATGCTGTCAGCAGCTGTTCCTTCCACTCTTCCTGCCGTTGGTAATTTGATGCCTAGTCGAGTCTTGCTCTGAGGTTTTGCCTCTGCGGTCAGCTTGTTTGTTGGCTGGTCGACTGCAGTGAAATTATGCAATGGTCACTTCGAAGGGGGGTTGGGGATTGTGGGCAGGCAGACCACCAAAGTGGCGGTGTCGGTTTTGTGGCCGAAGCAAGCAGTCAAATAGCATTTACTTTGACTGCAGTTCAAAGGAAAATATTGCCTGGGAAAATGTAATCATTAAGTGTGGTCAACAAAAAATGCAGGAAATTATTTGGACTGCAAACCAAAAATACATTTGTGGGTCAAGCGAATTTCTAAAGATATTTTTTAAATTTGGTATTTATTTTTGAAAGAGGTTTTTAATTCAAAACATTTTTTTGTTATTTGACATTTATTTTTATCTATGCAGGTTTCATTTCTTTCGAGTTCCTGTTCTGGTTCTTTAGTAACCTTGCTACAATCTCTTTGTCAGCAATTTCCATATCAAAGTCTTAACACGCCCGCTGCTTGCATCAAACTCCCCCATTTTTCAATACCTTGGGAATATGTGTAGTACTTCTCCATATACGTCTCCCCAGTTCTCTTTGCATTTTTACCCTTTGTGGTTTTACTTTTTTACGTGCCATGCCTTGCTCTTCGCAACCCCCAAAAGTACGGGAGTATGAATGAGTATGAGTGCCAGGAACTTTAGTTCAGAGTTCATAAATAAAAGATTCACTTCTTGCCAGGCTTTAACTCCCTCACACGCACACAATAACATTGTTGCCCCTTTGGTTGCCGGCTACTTTTTATTGTAGATTGCTTATGCCAAAGGAAAACCCTTGTCTGCTGCTGCCCCCAAAGGTATTTCGCATTTCGCATTCGGCTTAAGCTTCGCTTCAACCCCTTTTTGCATATATCGAGCATACAAATGGTTTACTTTCTTGCCAAATTGTACGACACTCTAGGGGGTTGCCCCCGAGTCCAATGCCTCTCTTTATGGCCAGTTGGCCATAACGCTTAGAAATCAAACAAGCCTCTCAAAGGGTTAGGCAAACATGGCCTCCTCCTCTCACTTTCCACATTCATTCTTGATTTCGTTTTTACGCCTCGTAAGTGAAATGAAATGAAATGAAATGAAATGAAGCACTCGCAGGAAGCAAGTCGAGTGCGGAGTGTCTTGGCTTGTGGCATGCCACATTATTTAATTTACTTTTAAGAATATTCTGCCAGGCAGACAACTGGCTTGACGCTCCAGCCTCATCCCCAGCCAGCTCCTCCTTGTCTTGCTCTCACCCAAAAGTCAACAAGCTGCTCACAAGCAGGCTAACATGAAATGTGAGAGGCGTATGTGTGTGTGGGCTGTCTATTATATCCTAAGGGGAATCTGGAATATTGTACATTGAGAGATACAGTTTCATACTTAGCCAATAAAGATTTAAAGTCTTTCACATAAAAGTGACCAAAAAGCTCTCCTTTTAATTGGAACACCTCAAGTTTAACTTAGATTACATCTTTGTTAATTATATATTATATATTATATTTTAAGAAGCCAAAATCGGTAAGCAAATAATATTCTCAAGGCATTTAGTCTATCTTTTTTAGTATAAAAATATCCATAAATTTATTACTTAGCTCGTTCTTAGATCAGCAAAAATTCGTATATTTTCTATGTGCAGCATTTTTTGCCTCCAGGCAAAACCCACTAAAAGTAGGCAAGCGTTCTTAATGTCTTCCCACAATCAGTTTCCACGTGTGTGTCTGTGTTTGCGTTGGCTGAGAGTTTTTACGAACGACTTCCGCCTTGACATCGCAACATGTTTACCTACAAGACATTACAAGGATGTCGGGCTCATCCTTCGCCAGTTACGTGGCGTCAATTTAATTTCACATTTTTCATTATGCTTATGGCGGGTTGGATGGGCGGCATCCTCAAGGCTGTCTGTTTTCCTTGCCAGGGGCAACACTTAATTATGTTCATTATTTTCATGGCACGCGGTTGTCTCTCCTGGGGAATCCCCTCCATCTCCGGCTCATCATCATTCTGACATGCCTGACGCTTTGTGCTCATTTAAATTGAATTTTGGCTGTGTTTGCTGCTTTGGCATTCTTTATTAATCAAATTGTTTTGGGCCATTTTGCAGGGGAAGAGCCTGGTCTTTGGCTTGTTTACCTGACATTTATCAAGGTTGCTCTACTCCCTGTTGGTCATTACAAATCGATTTATCTCCGGCTTGGGCGAGGAACTTATGGCTCTATTAGCCTGGGCGGGAGGGCGTTGCAAGAGCAACGCCAAATGTTTGCTAAAGTCCGGCAACATCATCATCATTATCAGTCTTCTTTAGCCATCCTTGAAGTATTTATTAATCGCTGTTCTTCTCTGGTTTCTTTTTTTGCAGAAACAAGCGGAAGGTGCAGAATCTGCTGCCCTGCAAGACACCCACCCGCGGCCCCCTCAACGGAGCCATGCCCCTGGGCGGCGGCACTCTGGGATCGGCGCACCACCATCACCATCACGGGATGTACGAGGATCCCGATGCGCACTTGGGTCACCACAGACCCCTGGTGATGCATCGGCATCATCATCACCAGCAGCTGGCGCACCACCATCACTATCAGCAGCATCACTCAGAGGTTAGTATCTCGAACTCCATATCCTTTCTGCAGGATATAATGTGATTCCCACACCCCCTCCCAACTGACAGACATTACGACGACAATCGCTGTCAAAACATTGCGCAGTCATTGTCTCGCACTCAGGTTTCTGCTCTGTTTTTGATCCTGTCACATGCAATTCAATTGTAAGACGAAACCACATTTCCTTCTGGCTAAGGATATCCCTTTCTGCATATTATTCATTTATGTCTATGGCTCTTTATGCCCATTGTACGCCTCAATTTACACTTGAACTTGACATGGCACAAATAAACGGCGGACACATTCACAAGATATGCGCGAGTGTGGCGTATCCTGTGTGTCGTCTGTCGAATGTCGTCTACCCTCAGTCAGCTTAATTTCAGCTCCTTTGTGTGCCTAAATATTTTACGACTCTGACGCCTCGAAGGCTTTTTCTGACCCAAAACGTGTTTTCTTTATGGCGCGCTCACCCTCGTTTTTATTTCATTTTTTCATATTTTATGTTCGAATTTTGCGCTTTTGTCGGGGCAATTCACCCTATCCCATTATTTTGCCTGTCTAGAGTGTGTGTTTATTTTATTGTCTGATAAACAGCTCCTTTAGGGAGCTTCATATGAACTGGTAGCTCCTAATATATCCCAGTTTAATTATTTTTTGCTTGACAGGAACTCAAAACATTTTCTTGTCTTTTATTCAGTATGAAAAAAGAAAAATTTCCATTAGTTAGGTATTTGACCTAGTTTTAAAGCTATATTGGCGGTAAAAAAAAAACTCTTAAACTTTTACTCTTAGTACTTTAACTGGGGCATTTAAACTTCCCTGTTTTTTCTTACGCATTTATTATTCATTTCTCGTGGCATTTTTAACTTCATTTTTTGCCTTTGTCAGCTTTGTTCTGATTCAACAACTGCTTATGCTGCTCGACTGCCTTCCCTTCTTACTTCCCCCCTGCCTTATTGTCCTGTCACATTTCAAAGTCCTGCCCGAGGGTACGTTGCTGTAAAGCGGCTTACCAAGAAAAACCCTTTCCTTTACCGCAAAAGGGTTGCAATGCCACACGGAGCACAATTATGGCATAAAATATAATTGAACATTAAAGAAAATCATTCTTTAAAATCCAAAAATAAAATCAGGTGAAATATAATATAATATTTAAAATTTATTCATGTTCGTTAAAATGTTTTTTTTTTCTGTGCAAAATGTAGGGCCCACCCTTTTCTCACTTCTTTGCTTCGTTTTCTTTTCCTTAACAATAACTAATTTATTTTTCTGTTTGTCTTACAGCTGCTGCAAGGCAAAAGCATTCACTATCCCAGCGGCTATCCCATGACGCGTTCGCCACCGTTTTTGGTCAGCTCCTCACCTGGACCCGATCCCTATCGCTCGAACGACAATGTGTACGAGGAACTGGGACCGGGACGCGTCGACTCCGATGGCGAATCGGAGCCGCCACTTCATTCCGATGACGATTTCGCCGAGGATGAACTTTCGCTGCCGGGCGAGTGCAGTTTCCAAAAGGAAAACAATCTGCCGGCGGCCGCAGGTGCCACGCCCTATCACGAAAGGGCGGCGGGCAGTAGCAGCAGCGGCACCGGAGCAACCGGAGGAGCGGGAGCATCTGCAGCGGCCACAACACCCTCCAGCCTGCAACACGTCACCCAGGAACGACACAGTGTCCTGAGCAGTGGTTCCTCAACGGGTCAGGATGCCTCCACGGCCACAGCCTCTTCGGCCAGCAATAACAACCATGAGATGGCATCGGGTTCTAGGCGTACCCACCGCACGCGACAGCCCCGAAATACTCAGGATCAGGATCTCAACAACAGCACCTCCACGGCGGACATTGCTGACTTGGCACCTCTGTACGACAACCGCAGCAATCTCATGTCCCTGGGATACATGGCTCGCTCTACGGCCCCGCAATTCTACAACACCCTGGAGCACGAGGTGGAACGCCGAAATCGCATCAATGCGCAGCTCAGTAAGACGCCAGTGCCACCGCTAGCCACGATTTACAGAGAGCGTATTCGCTATCCCAATGCCAGCCAGCAGTACCCCTCGAGTGCGGCCAGTGGTCTGATGGCAGCCACGATGCGGGCGAGAACTCAGCCCAGGGTGTTGGATCGTCGACTGGCACCGCACCAGCATCAGCACCACCGCATCCATGCCGCACCGATGGCCCAGGAGCCATCGTACTGCTATGCGGAGCCCATGTACAATGCCAACTATTACTACGAAAGTGCTGGTGGGGCAAGACCATATGCCTCCACTCTACTGCCCCCTGCTGCGGACTACAGACATCCGTACGGCGACTCCAGCTTTGGCTCCGATTCGGGCTACAGTCACCACACACCTGCCAGCTCGATTGGGCGTCAGGACTACGACCTCGCAGAGCCGCAAGTGGTGGCCCAGCCCAAGCCCAGCAAGCTGAGTTCCGCACTGAACTTCAGTTGGAACCGAAACTCAAGGGGCAAGGGCAGTACGCCTGGTGGGGCTATATCGAAGAACTCGGGAAACAGCAGCAACAGCAGTGCCGAGGCCACTAGTCCCAACAACAACAGCAGCGCCTGCTCCACCGTCACATCTCAATTGGAAAACAACAATGCTGCCAGCCTGTCACCAGCGTAGATAAACCAATCGAATAGATCCTAAACAAAATCCTTGTAAATAGGGGCTTAGGCAAAAACAAAAGCCCTTGTACAGTTAGTCATATCTCGTAGGCTAAGTATACTAAATATCAAAACTGTCCTGCGTGTACATCGTCAAAGCAATAGTTTAACATATATACTAGACTCGAAGCATAGAGCCCAAAGTTTCTTGAGAGGTTTATCAAAGAGGGTTGCCATACCACCAGGTTTTTGCTCTGTTTCAAAAGCAAAACTTGTCGCAAAGCAAAGAACTTATAGGTCCTAAGTGTTTTTCCAATGTGATTGCCAAATTCTACAAAATAATACTAAACTAAACTAAAAACTGCGAAACTAATTTATAATGTAGCTCTATTTAAAGTTTGTCCATAATGTACGCTTAAGTTTATCTTTAGTTATGTTTGTTATTTTAGTTTTTAAGTGAAGTATAAGGAGAAGAAATCTGATAAAGAAAAATGCGTTGAACAGGAGGTCAACAAAAATATACCAAAATATTATAAAAAATGGAAATGGATGAATTGAATTTTTATTATTTTGAAACTTTCGAACTTTTAGTTCTTTGTACTTTTGGTCGATTTAAAGAAAGTATTGGTTACGGAGGGAGACGTTTTTTTTCGAACAGAATCATTTTCGTTTTTAACTATGTGTAGCATACTTTTCGGAGCCATGTTTAAATTGACAACAGAATTTGTAATTCTGCTGTAAATACTTTTCGGAGCATCTGTAAATGTTACTTAACATTTTCAAATGCCTATGTTACTTAACAGGCAAAATTAATGAATTTAACATGTCCATTTTTATTGAACTGTTATTTTAATAATGATTTCATTGGAATTTCTTAAGCATAAATTGCTGTAGGTATTGCATTTAATCGCAGCCTTTGAAGGAACGTCTACCAAAGGCTCTAAAAAGACTGTTTACTTATAAAAGAACAACATATTTTACTTATTACCGAAACAATAATAAACTGTATAAACTAAATCCTAGTTGGTAAAGCTTTGTAATCTATATCTTGATGAAAAATCCAACCAAGAAGCGAAAACGAAAATCAGATAAAACACCCATTAGGTATATCGAGTGAACCATTTTAGCGGGCGCCCTTGTTAATGAACCCCCGCGATATAGAGAACACTTCCTAGGTTGTATCAGTACTGTAAATAGCAAACGGGGATTATTGCCTCCCCTTGCCTCGTAACCGGTAAAAATATCCACTAATAGTCCCCAACCTTCCCATTTCCCCCAGCGATATGTGTGTGGAAGCGAAATGTTAAATTTTCTTATATGAGCACAATGCAATGTATCCTATAAACCGTAGTCTATACATACATACGTACATATTCGTACATACAGTACATATAGCTTAGAATGGAAGAAGCCCAGATGATATGCTTATATTGATAAGAGCCGATCCTTAGACCTCCCCTCCCAAGTAGTATCCACTTAAAAGGATTACAACTTAGTCTAGATTAACTTCTTCAGCCATCAGCCATATGATATGCAATTAATGCTTTAGATCAAGTTCAAGACGTTGTGATTTTTGGAAAACAGCCATTCAAAATTGAGGTTTTTATAAACCAAAATGCGTATATACATAGATATGGTATGAAACAGACCCCAGATAAATAAAATGCAGTAGCACAATCAAATGGAGCGAGTGACAACAAAATAGAACAGCAGCTTAAAAGGACTAATCCTAAAAATGAACTAGATATATGGTTATCAACTTATTTTTTCGAAAACTAACTGACAAAACAAAAAAACTAATAGCTCGTTCTTCTTCAATATTTCTTGCTTTTCATATTGGTTTCCATTGCTAACAAACTTCTTTTCTTTAATGTTTTAATTTGAATCTTACATATCAACGATCGTATTTATGTAATATAGCACACCTGGTTTCTAATACTATCAATATCAGTACAAACACTTTATTAAAATAAACAAACTTTTATCCTAAACTTAAAACTTCCAAGCAAACCAAACTCGATAAGAACTTTTTCTCCATCGCAAGTTGTATATACGGACTTCAATAAGAAAAATATGCTGTAGCTCTTCCAAAAAAGTAAACAATAAATGTATAATGTTAAAGAACTCTTTGTTAGGCATCAAATTTAATTGAATTGAATTATATGTAAATAATTGTTTTCCTGTTAGTTTACTAAACTTGGACAGCATATCAAGCCAATGACTCGTATTTAAAGATTTTCGTCTACCAACCAAATCCTTTTCTACAACTGCCTAGATTTTATATGGAGTATGAGGAAGATCTTTTCATTTAAATGCAAAGACAAAAAAAAAAAAGGAGCGATTTAATCGAATTTATAATGTTTAATGGCAGTTAATCGAAGTAACAGAAGTCCCAGGGGGAAAACCCAAAGCATCAATATAAATATCAATTAAATTAACAAAATGATTAGCAATTAATTATGCCCGAACAACTAGCTAGTTTATACATTTTTTGTAAAACCAATTTAACAATTAGTTTCACCTTTTTCTATAAGCAGATATGATAATAATTAAAAGAACGAAAATGAGTAACTAAAACACAAATCAAATTATGAAATATGAAAAAAGTGCGTTTTATTTTTTGCCAAGATTTTGGGGTGATTCTGTGACAACGAAGCAAAAAAATCCTTTTTTTGTCTACATAAGATTTTTCCTAACTGGAGTAGCAAAAACAGAACATAGATATTTTTAAAAACAATTATTTAGATGGGCGAAACCATTCGCCGCAACCTCTTAATTCAGTTGGCTTACAAAAATTATGAAATAAAATATGAATTTATATATAGCATAATCTTAAGTGTACAAAAAAAAACTTTCTTAGCCCTTTTTCCCAAAAGAGACGGCATCTGAAGAGAAGGTGTAAATCTGCATCAAATTAAAAATGCGCGCGTGTGTGTTCTACGGAAGATGAGAGGGAAATTTCGGAAGACAGAGGCACTGAGTTTGTTTTAGCGCTTGTGCATGCAGTTAATGTGCTTATTTTAAAATTTAAATTGGCTTGCGCAGTGCGCACTTGAGTAAGAACTCCACAAAAGAGGACGAGTGTGTGCGAACTCCTACAAGATTCGCTTTAATAGAAAGTTTGCACGGCCTTTTTCGTTTTCTTGGGGTTTTGCAAAAAGCTCCTGGTGTAATTAACATTCACTTGCAGTATAAGGAATGTGGAGTGAAACCTTGAGCATGTGTGGTTGTGCCAGGGATATATGACTGCATTTAGATAAACAACTTAATTATTTCCACGGGAGCGTACGAGCTGCACTTTTGCTGCGGCTTGAAAACCAGAAAGGGGGAACTGTAGCTGTTGTTGAAAGCAACAAGGCTTCAGAGAGCCAATTAAATACTTTGAAGATTGCCTGAAGACCCATAAAAAGCTTAATCAAACTTATGAGGAAAAGAAGGTAGTTAGTTGACGGCAGTACTAAAATAAAGGCAAGTCTATTTCAAGCTATTGTTACGGTCACACACGTGTCGGCAATTTACAAATGATATGTCCACACAATGGATTTAAATATCTAAATTATATGTATCTCTATTAAAGCAACCTAATAGAAATTGGGACATTGGTCAGATATCAACAATGCGTAAACGATGGGTCAAGTTCACCTTCAAATTCATTCTTTCAAGACAGTGTATGTACTTTTTAAAATATTATTTATTTTGCATTTTATGGCAAACAGTTTATAATACATTTCAGCAACAAATAGTTATATCATTAAATTAAATAGTTAAAAGTTGGACATAATAGCATATATATATATATAATAAATTTATTTTTAAAACAACATTTGACTATCACTGCACTATTGAGTGCGATGGCAATTAGCTCGGTCCCCTGGAAACCTCAACTCTATTTTGTGTTAATCAAAAGTTTCAGTGGTCTCTTGCTTTTATCCCCAAAGCCCCTCACCTTTTAACAACAAACTCTAAAAGTTATTCTGCCAGTTGTGCCGGTGAGCGTTTTGTCATTCATTACAAATTTTCACACGTGGCCCAATTAAATTATTCAGCCCCGTACATACACCCACCCGAATAGTTTTAATTAAATAATAGATACAAGCTACCCTTGCTATGAACTCTAGCTGTGGGCGTGGCACCTTACTGCCAGCTGCTTTTTGCTCTCATTTTTGCAAATGGAAAAGTTTTCCAGGACAAAACGACTCCCGAGACAAAAGCCTATGACCGAATTAAGGTGTATGTGTGTTAACTGTGCCAAAATGTTCGAGTGTTTTTATCATCACCCTCTTCCCTTTCTTTTTACTATCTCCAACTCTTTCTTAGGGAGCTGGTAAGACATTTAAAATTAATGTGCTATGAAGGCGTTTGAGAGCTTACAAGACAAGTCGAAGACATGTCGAGGACATGCAGCCGTTAACATAATCGCTCGAGCTTTGAGCACACATATTCCCACCCACTACATGGCACTATTTAACACTGTACAAAGTAGTTTGAAGTTGACAGTATCATCCCGGAGCATTATTCATTTAGAACCTGTTGTTTTTCTCAGTATGACTTAAAGTGAGTCAACATTTACTAGGCAGAACTTTATAATTGACAATGTGGGTCAGTGTTGAGCAATGAAATAAAAAGAAAACATTTTTAATTTTCGTCTTGACCTTTTTTTTAAGGAGTTAAAATAGATGCACGAATATAAAAAGGGGATTTTTATAGTTACACTTCAACGCACACATAAGTTACACAATTATGAGCATTTTTCATACAGAAGGAATGTTTTCTTAGACAAGTTGAACAATGACCCGAAATGGAAACAAGTATCGATGTCCTACGATTTGTTTGCTAAACACTCAAGGTGGTCTATGTCACATATGTCTTATCGCTTATCTATCCGACCATTAGGTATCGCAGGCACATGTTAGGCAATTAACATTTGCGTGGGGTACTAGTAATTGCGTCCTACAGTAGCCATAGGTGTAAAAGATTCTTATCTATTTCTCCAACTGAGACTCAGTAGTAACCAATTAAATAAGTAAAATTGAAGAAGTCTTATAAAGTAGAACTTTTATGATAGCCATTCTATCCATATATGAAAAGGCCTTACGTGAAATGCGCAATTCACTTGCATTTTAAGTAAATAGTTTTCACAAAATTAAGCGCTTTTCTTCCAAGATAAATAATACATCTGCACATGTATCTTCCTTAAATATATTAAATGGAAAATGGTAAATAAAATACTTTCTGTAGAATCGTATACAGTATGTAAATCAAGACCAACCCTGGACATGCAATTTTATCATCAGTTTATCGGGACTCATTAGATAACAACTGATTGATTGCCGACTTATGTCAGGTAATTGGTTGATGACCAACCGCCGCATGTTTATGGCTTCAGTTCTTGATCTGAGTCCGAGTCACAAGCAACCCATTGGCCAAAATGTCTTCCACGAAACTTGCCTTGAGCCTAGTTTGCCTTTTGGTATTCCTTCAAGGAAGTTTCACAGCCCAAGCTCAGGCTGGTGATTATGTGGAGCTCTGTAATTTAACCAGCAGCATCGCTGTGGATCTTACTCAGGTAAGTGAACTAATAAGTTAAAGATCTTTCCAGAAAATAAGCAGAATTTTTTAACCAGTTCTCTGGCATTTGGTGGGAGGTTGCCCGTCAGCCGGCCGGAAAAGACTTTTGCACCGAGGTTAATATCACAGTGCTGCCAAATCAGGTCCAGGATAATGTTTTGATAGACACCACGTACGGGGTATCGCCCGATTATCCGTGGGTGAATCAAACTATGAATGCCACCCTCACCGTGGAGAACATTACTGTCGCCCAGGATGGCTTTAACTTCACCTACTGGAATCCGCCAGGCTACACTCCCTATGCAGTGTACAAGATCCTCTACACTGACTACACCGATGCGACCTTTATTTGTGGCTATACTAATCAGACTGACAATTCCACGTCTTTTGGAATGATCCTAACTAGAGATCGAACTCCCACCACCGATGCTTTAAATAAACTACAGAGCTTCGCCTTTGGGCTATCCTCTAACTTTTTAAATGGCACCATGCCAGTGATAACTCAGGGCGAAACGTAAGTACTGTTAAAAGCCCTGATTAAGTAAAAGTTTATTATACAACATATATTAATTATAATTATACATATGTTAAGATTAAACGAAAAACGTATTAAGAGATATGAATGTGTGTTACTTGTAAATTTGTGTCACAATTATAGTTTATTTTATGCTTATAGTTTTGTTCTTTCCAGTTGCTATGCATCATCCGGAGCCTCTACTATTGTATCCATGCTGTTGATTGCCTTGGCCTTTGTTCTTGGCCTTAGTGCTGACCGTCAAATCATTTAGTCTACACTCAACCAGAACGAGAACAACTTTAGCTTTCCTATTAACCAAACTCAACTTATCCTAACTTAAAATTCAATTTGCTTTGTATATAATTTCAAATGTGACGATCAAACAAATAAAAACTTACGCATTTTCATTATCTATTTATTTTTTTTTGTGCTTTAGCTTAAAATAAACATGAGTCGATATCTGCTGTTGGGTTTTAAGCACTTGAAGTCCATGAAATATTGTTGTACTTTTCCAAGTTTCCGATTGCTACTTATTAAAAATGTTTCTTTATCGCAATTCAGTCTTCCTTTTCTTGTTCTTTTATTTTTTGCATTCCTGTTTTTGTCTTTACTGGTGATTCAGTGTCTGCTAGCGATAAAGCCATTTAATCCAGAACTGGAGACATTTGCTCCCCATATGTATATTTGTTTTTAGGGTAGACCACGTAAAAATATAGATAGAACTCTAAGAGGAAGACTTCAATTAATTTAATACTTGTCTCTTTTATCTTCAGTTTCTGATAAGAAGTCGTACCTTTTTTATGGCATTGCCGAGTGTAAAGAATGAGTAATGTGAAATAGCACAACAGCTTTCAGACGGAAAAAGAAGTTCCATAAAAAAATAGGAATGGGCTCATAAATAGAAACAAATGAAAAGTGCTTAAAAAATTGCATTGAATTATTCTTATAATATAACTTTATTGTACAACGAGAATAGATACAAAAACAATAAACTTCTTAAAGCTTATTCTATTTCCATAACAAAACCATGACCTATATAAGTTTTCAGTATTTGATAGCTAATCTTTGCTAAAATCAAACATTTTGTTACCACCATAAACCATAAAGATTGTTATTCCAACATGATATAACGACAGAGTTTCAGCGTTATGGTTGTTAACGATAGCAGGTCAATTAGCCTGTCAATTTATTTTTGGCTGGGAGAATCATTTCCTGGAAAGCCATGTCAAAGAGCTTAGCAGGTAAGACAACTTATTGACCAACATGCAGGGAGTTTTCAAGGGAGCCAGAAGGAAAACGGAAAGCAATAACGATTGCTAGAGCCCCATGGGATTAGTCATACAGTGGGGCGATAACAGACGTCAGATGTACGTAAGTCGGTGACAGAGCCCAGGCGCCTCCACATGTGCAAGTATTGATAATGGCTGCGAAAATACGGGAGAAAGATACACGACTATAAAAGCCAGCCGCGGATGGGCAGCCAGTTCAGTTGTACGACGCACCCACAGCGAACCGATCGCAGAACCGGAACCCTTAAAATATAGAACACTAACCGATAAATATTACTAAACCGCAAGTGACATCATGTGCAAAAGTGTGATGATTTGTTTGGCCCTAGTGGCCTCCATTTCGATGGTGCTGGCCCAAGGCCAAACCCAAGCCCCGCAGACCTGCGCTCAAGCTACCAGCTTGGATTTTAACAACCAGACCTATGTGAGTGAACAAGTATTTTTAGTGCTATTGACTAGATTCCATTTTAAGAAGTGACTACAGATCGCTTAGGATTTTAATTTAAAGGATATAGCCATTGCAAAAGGATACCTACATTTTAACTAAAGGTCAAGTATTAACACTGCACCAATGACAGGATATATTTATAAACCCGTTTTTTTTCGTTCTTATCAAATCAAATCGATTCGCCAGCTCAAAAATAATATTATACCCATTAAAAATATTATTAATTATCTTCAAAGAGAGGGTGTCCTTCTTATAAATAGTGTTAGTCATAAATTCGTTAAGAAAGTATATTTTTTAGCGCTTGCTTATAATCATTTTTACTTGGAAAATATATCCGGGCTCAGAAAATAGTGGATATAAGGTATTTTCCCATTATAAAAATACCTTTTTTCCAATTCCAGTTTAGTGGCCAATGGTTCGAGGTGGCCCGCAATCCGGCCGCGAGTGTGGCCTGCATTACCCTCAACGTTGGTTTCTGGCAAAACACCAGTATGCTGGTCAATGTCAGCCATTCGAGCAGTAATACCTCGCTACTGGCCGATGTCCATGAGAGTGCGAATATAACTCTGGTGGCCGGATCTACTGCCGGCTACAATGTGAGCATCGTGAAGGGCAACCAGCAGGAGTACGTCTTCATCAAGCTGCTGCAGTTTGTGAACAACACCTACCTGACGGGATGCAGATATACTGGCAGTGACGCGTCGTCCAGCGCCGGCTTTATTTTGGCCAGATCAAATTACACTGCTGAAGGCGTGAAGATTGCAAATACGAATGCTTCTGCGTACTATAGCAACTTCCAGGCCAGCACCTACGGCAATGTCACGCAGTTGAAGTAAGTTTACCCGAAAATAGCTAAGTCTGAGAGTATACTTATTTAGTTAAATTTTAATATTTCAGTTGCTATGCCAGCTCTGCCGGACAGACTGGACCTCTGACTCTAATTTCTGGCTTCCTGGTCCTCGCTCTGCTGCTGATCAAGGCCTAAAGAAGGAGATGTAACATACTGCTGTGCCTAGCTGTCATAAAAAAATATCCAAACCAAAACAATTGCCCCAGTTATTGCGTCATTTCTTTATTTAGTTTTTAGTTGACTTTTAACTCTCCGCTTTGCAATTGAGTCAAGGCAAAACGATGTCAATAAAAGTAAACCGAAATAGGAGAGGCCCCTTAAAAAAACCTCTCCGAAAAGAACGAAACTCGATAAAAGGTGTACAGACAATAACAGTATTCTCAACGCTCTGCTGCAATCAGTGCTTTAATTTGCTGGCAACTTGTTCAAAGGTATGCGTGATAAGATAAACGTTAACGATAACAAAATATATGACTATGCCACCGATTCACCCAACAATTCAATGGAGTTCTGTTCCTGTTTTTTTTGTTTCCTTTGCTAATATCTAACAAGCCGCTCATAAATCAATCAATGGCCGCATGTTCACAGGCAAAAAGATTTGATACGTTTTGCCACTGATTAATTGATTGACAAATCACTTCAGTTCACCGTTTCTACACAGTTGGCTAATTACTCTGCTTTGTGAGCGGTTGTTTAATCGCTTATTGGTAGGATTTCGATGGTCTTATTAATTCGATTAAATGCGCTCATTAGCTTCATAAAGCGATAAGGGAAAAATGGGACGATTTGCTTAGATTTGTTTGGACTATAAGCACTTCAAAACCAAAAAGAACAATTGAATATTGGTATCAATGTGTACAGACGTGTATCTGATAACGTCAAAATAACAAATATGTCAGTGCCAAAAGCTGAATGATCACAAGACCGAATGACAATTGTATTGGCATTGTAAATGATGTTACCCTTGAAAATAAACTAAAATATTTGCACTTAAAATCGAACCAGACGGAAACAAACAAAAAGACAACGTATTTTTAATTGATGAGAAATTAAACCAAACAAAAGATAAGTATGTCCACGTAGATTAAATAACAGGGTCTTACCAACAATGCAGTCTTACATAAATGATACTGTTTTTGTAACAAAAAATTAATCTTCATTGAATCAGGCTTATCGTAAATACTAGTAATACTTTCATAACAAATTATTAGGGTCAGACTTTGGAAACTTAAAAAAAAATGTTATTAATGGCAAAGCTTAACAAACATAATCAAAACGAGGGGTCTTACTGTATGGAAATATGAATCAGGCGAAAGCCAAGGCATAATGTTGGAGGGGGCACTCAATATATTCATACACAAAACAAATTTTCTATAGCACTTGGTCAGATGTCAGGAAAGTTGTCAACTACAAGATTGAAAAAAAGAAACTCTTAATTGTCAGAGCAAGGAAAAGCCAGCCACGAATTTGGAATATCAGTAGTAGACAATTCAGTTAGCACACACACTTGATTCTGTGATTTGTTTGCCAGCCCCGCTGCCGAAAAGAAAACACTTAAAGTCCTGGCCAAGTCTCAAATCAGACACAAAATCAGACACAAAATCCTCGGCAACTTCTGCCTCTTACACACTTATCGAGCTTCGGGCTGCTGCTGATTTCTTGTTTATTTATTCAGCTTCAACCCAATCAGGCCACCCACACACATACCGATCCTGATGCAAACAAACCCACACGAAAGTAAACACAAGGCCACTAAATCACTGAACACTCTCAGCTTTGGCATTTACACCACCACCACGTCCACCTCCCTATCCGAAGGACTCCAGCTCCTGATCCTGAGACTTCGCCCCTTGCGACTTCTTTTGTTGCTGCGCTTGACCCGCGGCTCCTGTACTCTGCCCCTCTTCTTGGGGTTTGTTTATGTTTATTTGTTGGCACAATTTGGTTACATTGTTTGCTTACAATCTACTCATTGTTTGCAGGGTTCGTTGTTGTTCTTGAAATCAAGTTTACATCGATTAAGTAGCTGTAAAATCCTTTGGCAAGAACAACACAAAGAAACCTTAAAATAAGGACCAAGAAATCTATAAATTTGCGTAAAATATCCAAAACTTACTACCTTTAATACAGTCAGCTAAAAATCAAAAGATAACACTTTGTTCTACAAAAGTTACATTGTATTTATTTTTTTTTCATGTGTACCCTTTTGTTATACATTTTTTGCGTATCTCGTTATGGGGAAATTTCTTAAGCATAACTAACCAAGCATAAATGCAAAGATATTTCTGTAATTAACCAGCCCAGCCTGAAATACCTGCGAATGCAGCATGACATTCTTACACCTCACCCAGCCGAGGTATTCATGACATTCTACGACAAGCAACTAGACAATAATTATACAGTCTGAAGTGGCTAATCATCCGAGAAGCCGTACTCTGCTCAGGACCAAACCCAAAACCAAACCGAAGCCAACCGCAACAAAGTCCGGGGCCAGAGCTTCTGGTCAAATGCCAGACAAACAAAGGATGCCTCCAATCAATGCTAATAGCAATCGCCCTGCAATATACTCGAAGTGCTTAGAAAACCGAAAGCCAAGAACCACACACATTCGGGATGGGGAAAATGGGCGAGTAACAAAGCGGGAAGAGCTGGCGTAGACAAAACTATTAGTTAATTTCCCAGTCACTGCAGGCCATCGACTTTGGATGGCGTTGATATTTCAGTCAATACCGCTTTCGCAATAGATCCCAATCAGTTGCGAAGGTGGAGCTCACTATTGAATTTGCCAGATGGCGTGAGTAGAGTTTTTATGTAAAGTCAGGT